AAACTTGGTTTCGACCTACTGTTAGTTTGCAGTATTCACAATTTTAAACCTTCCTAGCTGTGGTTTTGGCCAGTTTGGGAGCATCTATCATATACACCCCTCCAGCCAGTATAGCCTAACTACAACGTATGCATGCAGCTAATGCCCCTGGAGCCCACAGGCCAGAGCAACTGAGGTATTTGGGCTACAGCAATGGTGAAACAGGCTGGGGTGGGGGCAAAGAGAGTTGCCAAAAGCCCTGCACTTGTCTGGAGAGGAGCTTCAATTGGCTTGATTTCTTTTTTTTTTTTTTTTTTTTTTTGGCTGACTGTGGCACTCAGTGTACCTGCACAGACCGGCACACTCCAGGACCTCAGAACAAGCTCAGTCTAGGCTGCGAGCCTGTGTCAGGATTTCCGAGGGTTGGGGCTGACTGGATGAGTTCACCCCTGTTTCTCTGGGGCTGCGGTGCAAGTGCCAGCTGTACTTGGAAAATGTGACCTTCCTTGGGCTGTCACATGGGAGATCTTGGGTAAAATGAACTTCAGCGAGGACAGCCAGGAGCAGGCTTTTGATGGTGCCTTGAGACTGTGCTTGCAAGTTTGCATGCCTTGAGCATGACGCTTTTGCAGCTGGCACACACAGCAGGCTCCACAGCTGCCTTCCCTTCAAGAAGCGGCAACTTGGCCTGGTCTTGTACCCATTAATTAGCCGTGTTTGGCACATGGGGTCTGGGAAAGACAGAGGAGCCATGCTGCCGTACTGCAGCCAGCCCTCCGCCCCTCCTGTCAGCCCCCTCCTCCTCCAAGCCCCCGGGGCGGCAGCCGGCCACAGCGGCAAGCCCTGATCCCCCTGGGGGGCCCTTCTCACACACGGGGGATTAAACCTGAGAGGCCGCTGTGCTTTGGGAAGACTGTGTCAACAGGCGTGTCGCTCCCCTGCAGTGCGGGACCAGCCTGGTGTCGCTGGTGTGGTCTGGAGGGGAAAGCAGGACGGGGACTGGCAAAGCCCAGGTGGCCAGCGGGGGCTCTGCTTGGCTGGTGGCCCCGCTGAGGTGGCTCTCGGTCAGCAGCTGCGGGGCATCCGAGGCATGGTGGTGTTGGAGGTGTTTGCCAGGGAGTGTGTGGCTTTCTGCTGCCCGACCCCTTCTGGTCCTATCCAAAATATTGGGGGCATAAGAGGAAAAAGCAGTTTTGAAGTGGCCGTGAGTATCGCACGAATGACACTCAGCTCTCTCACTGATGACTGGTCAGTTCGGGACCGGACATGATAATAAATGGGATTTTAGCATCTCAAGGTGGTAAGTAGCATTTTTTAATGCCTAGTGAAAAGCCATAGAAAGAAGTAAACAAACCAGAGAGGGCCTGGGCCACACTGTGTGGACCCAGACACCAACAGTCGCCGCCGTTCCTGGAGCCTTGGGATGTGGTCCTTCACTGAAGGCGGAAACCCGACTGTCAACTAGTTGGGATTATGAAAGGCTGGCAGTTTGTGGGGTGCTTGGATTTATGGTTCTGGTTAGGCTCATCTTGTCAACAAATAGGCGCATTTTGAGCAGAAGGACGCCTGCCTTTCAGACTGGAAAGCTCGGCAGTTACGCTTGGGGCTAGGGGAGCGAGTACAGCATGCAGGAGCTTGGGGAATCTGGGACGAAAAGGCAGAACAAGGAGCATGTGTCAGCACCTCCACACGGCAGAGGGGATCTCTGCACAGCTGAAAAAGATGACAAGGAGCCCCAGTGCTAGAGGCTAGGAGCAGGGTCCGAGGCTGCGAAACAGGGGCTTGTGGAGGATAGGTGGCCATGGGGCCTGGCTGCATGGTGGCAGGGCAGCCCCTGCTCCATCTTGTTTCAGTTTGTGGTGTGAGATATGGCTTCTGTGGGGTGATACTTCTCCATAAAGGAAAAGGTTATTTCTCTAAATGTTATATTTGTATAGTAAGGAAAAATAACATGGAATTTTTTTCCTTTCGTAGAAAATACTGTTGCGTCGTGGAGGTAGCGTGAGTGGCCTCATCTGTCTCTCTCTGCTTGCAGCTCTTGTTTATCATGTTGATGAAAGATACGCTTGGTAAATCCTTGTGAGAGAGTGACTGTGGCCTGCTAGTCTTTCATTCAGCCTCAGAGCGTAGCTAAACTTTCCACGGATATTTAAAACAACGGCATTTAATCTCTAACTCAGTTAAAAGGCTTATGTGTTCCTACTGCAGAAGTGAGACACGCTGGCAGTGTTCTTATTTATTTTATTTGTTTGCCCCAGCTTGAATACTGAGGAGTCAAAAGAAAAGTTCTCATTTTAATATTCTGCGGGACTGAATTGCTTCAGTGAAAGCAAAGGCTGTTGTGCAGTTACTGATGCATAACTCTGCTTTTTTCATAAGTCTGTCCTTTGGCTACGGGCATCTCATCTGCATAAGACTGTTAGGTTTTTTTCTAAATATTGAGAAGGGGTGTCAGTCCCTGAGCACCGATTGGTTGATTAATCAAAGTCCTTAACCAATCAATAAGTAGAGGTTTGCATAGCAATGTGATTATTTCTGAAAAACTGTGCCTATTGGAATTGCAAACCTTTCTACTGTGGTTTGCTTCTATAACGCCTCTGCTTTAACTGCCTCCATTGCTCACGTTTTCAAAGTACTTAGTAACAGCAAAGATGCTTCCTAATCTCCTGTATCTTTCCTTTTTTTCTGTGGCCTGTGTAGGGGGTGGAGAGGGAAGTAACAAGCAATAAAACTGAAACAGTTTGCACACAGAAAAGGGGACAAAAGTAGAAAAAATAAAGGAGAAAGAAAATGTTTTGGGGTTTCGTTTGTTTGTTTTTCCCAAAGCTAAAACTGTGATCTGAAGCTCATATTCCTCTCTTTTCTTGCCTACTTTCCCTCCAGGACTGTTTGCATGATTTTCCTCGCGTTGTCGATACTGTACCAGTTCTGACCCCTTACTAATATCTTTTGGTTATTGGAGAGGAACTAGCTTTTGGATCTGTATGAATGTAAATTGAAGTGAGAGAAAGGAAGATGACTGCAGGGAAAGATGACTGGAAAGGGAAAGAATGTTTTTCTAGATTTGGGGGTTGTAACTTCAGTTCAATTTGCAATAAGTTTGGTGTTCATGTGTGCGTGGTTTTCCTCTCCTCTGCCCCTTACTATAAGGAATGGTAATAACTGGGTATATTTTTATGGACAGCAGCTTGAAAATGTGCCTACTTTGTTCTTTTATTTCTGTTTTGTAAAATAATGGGAAATTCAACCTGCACGGTAATGTGTTGTTTCATGGGGTAATGGGTCTGGAGATGCAAAGCTAGAATGCAATGGGCATTAAACAATAAGTCCAAAGGCAAGTGTTCACAGCTCTTGGGTCAGAATCCAAATTATGCAGTAAAACAGTATTACGTGCCTCCTGATTTTGGACCCTTTGGGATATACATTTGCAGCTTTTCTTCTCATCCAAAAGGGCTAAAATTTCTCTTGAGCCTGGGGTAGGGGAAGCTGAAAACTTTCTTTGACTTCTGATTCTGGTATTTAGCTGAGCTAGACTTTGTTTAGTCATTCTTGTCCCTGTAAAGATGGGACGTGTGAATCACAGCTTGAAATGATTTCTGCTTCCATTTTCGAGGCCTTGAATGTGCAAGGCAGTGGTGGAGCAGACATCTTGGTTCTGTCCTGTCTTCATACATCTTCTAGAAATAAGACATGTGATTCTTTGTGTTTGACAAGACACATCTGCACTGATTTTAATGGAGTGTAATTTGAAACTAGCTTAGTTAAACCAGGGCAGATGGCTGCAGGACTGTGTGTAATTTTTTCAGTGTAAGGTTGTGGTGCTGCTGCAGGAATATTAATCTGGTTTTAGGACACCTCATAGCGAAAAAAAGATAATACTGTCCTCATATAAATCTCAGTGTTGAACAAGTACAAATTAATTCTGCCCATTAAAATGTATAATGAAAAAGAATCCAAAGATCTGTCTTAGAAGACTTTGTCAGGTAAGGTATTGGCTGGCTTACTGCACAGTATAAAGATTATATCTTATATTTCTGGTTATTAAACATTAGCTAAATCTAAGTAGTCATGCCTGATCCCAATCAAGGCTTGTACTGACAGGTGATCAGATATTACATAGAGCTCGTATCAACGAAAATGGAACCAGAGCCATGAAAATTTGCAAAGGCTTAACTAAATTGATTTAATGTAATCAAGACCTGGTTGTCTGTAGACAAGGTTTTTATTTACTGCTTTAATACACTTCTTCTACGTACGGCATCCATGCCTCTTTCATGTTCCTTTGGAGTATTTCGGCAAGCAAGAATAGAAATTGGAATGGTTGCCAAAATGCAAAGTTAATCCTAGAAATCTGAAATAGAACAAGAAAGCTGTCTTCAAATTTGTTTTCTCAGCTATTCATACTGCAAGCTTTATTGCATAAGACATTTTAATTCAGTCTAAGAATAAACATGTGACCTATCTCCCCCAGACCTGAGATTGAACTGCAGAACTCCCCCCACCCAGTTAGCTCATTATCAACCCAGACATTTCTGATGGGGAAAATAAAGAAAAGATACTATGGAAAGTGTTCCGTGTTTTCAGCCAACCTTGCTCATGATGAACAGGTTGAATGGGAAGTCTGCAGGCTGGAAAGCACATCTGCTTAAAACATGTGTTGGATTTTCTTTCTTTATTTATCTTAACAGTGAGCACATTTGTGGAAATCATGTTTTCCTCACAATCTGTTTGCTGAATTAGGACACAAACCCGAGAACACTTGTGCATGAGAGAAATTTTCTATAAATGAATAGTGTCACTGAGTTCAGTAAGAGCAGTCATGCACAGGATTAAGCACATGCATGAGATTTTGCAGAAATTTGGCAAGTATGTTGTCATCGTGAACAGATTGCCCAGCTTTGCTTCTAATGCAGCTATAAATTCTTGGCTTGGTCTTATTTTGAGTAGCCCTCATTGTATGAGCCATAAGCTATTCTATTGTGCTAAGCCTAACTGAGGATATTTCTCTTATTTTGTCATAGCAACAAGAGCAAGATCCCACAAATCTATACATCTCAAATTTACCCGTTTCCATGGATGAGCAGGAACTGGAGAATATGCTGAAACCCTTTGGACATGTCATTTCCACCAGAATATTAAGAGATGCTAATGGAGTCAGCAGAGGAGTCGGCTTTGCCAGGTGAAACCTTTACTCTTTTTTGATTCGTGCACATTTTTTTGGCTTTGGTCCTTTGCAAATGCTGTCTATTCCATAACTCTGAAGCCTCATAGCTATGGAAAATGCTGAGCAGCACCTTTATCAGATCCTGTGTCTGTTCTTTCCACTGAGCTGAAGAACACCAGTGCAGAAGGGTGTTCATTTCATTGCCCTAAAAAGTAGTTCATTGCATGTACATATATGTAAATAAAATTCGCTAGGCATAGTGAGCTATCCATGCAGTATCAAGCTTGGATAATAATAAACGTCCTACAACCAAAAGCACATACTTGGTGAAGAAACTGTTTAAATGTTTAGCAAAGATTTTGCAACAGGAAAAAGTAAATTTAGCAGTTGGAAGAGCAAAGGAGAGGAACTATAACTGAAGAAACGTGCCTTCCTTGAAAGCCACAGGGAACTCAGGTCTGTGGGAAGAGCTTAAGAAGAAATATTTGAATATAACAAGCCCCTGATATTGTAGACAGAATGAGCAACATATTATTACCATGTAGTTCATTGTCAGTACAGGTAGTCAGGTTTCCATGTTTACTCTCAGGGAATATTTACATAGATTGTCTTCAGCTTGAAACATTCTTAAATCAAATAGTTTTCTTTTGAAAAGCCAATGAACAGAGAGCTATATATAGAAAGGTATTGAAAAAGTAAGTAGGAGAAATTTTCAATTGTGCTGTAAATCAGTCTTCTGCTTCAAAAGAAAAGGGAAAAAAATCCCAAATCATTGTTTCTCCAGAATATTCATAACATTGTGCTTTGTAGAGGAGGCAAAAAAGACTTAGTCATCTTGCGAATTTCTTTGAAATACACCATGTCTTGGTATATCATGGCACTTCTGTTGGTGTCCTAACACCACTGAGTGAAATGGGGTACGATCTGCTAAAAAGGTAGCTTGCAAGATAAGTGACATTGTAGTATTACCTTTGTCCTTGATGTAAAAGGTCATCATGCACGACGAATATTAAGATAATACTGTCTGAATTCAAATGGAAAAAGGCAAAACATTTATGCTGAAAGATGACACACTGTTCCTTATGCATTCTTGCAGATAATAACATGAATTTTTCTAGCTCACCCAATATAGATTACTGTAAGTCATGGATAAACTTGCATTTTAAAAAATTGACTTTGTGGAAAAGTATTTAATTACGTAACATATTTCAAGAAACCTTTAGTGATCTAACGTGAAGGTTGTTTACTTCACCATGCAGATGACAGAGGGGTAAAACCTTTGCTCCATCAAAGCATACAGCAGATCTCCCATTGACTTGAATGAGGCCAGAGTTAATCCAGAAATTTAGAACCATAGCTGAATGCTGACTCTTGTCTTTGCAGAATTGTCAATAGAAGCTTTAACTAAATGACCGCCTGACCTTCTTTTTGTAATAAAGTGCTATTTGGTATCTTTTTCCTGCATGTCAGTCCAAATAGGTGAATTTGTTTAGCTTTACTTGTAGTCATGAAGGTTTCATTCTAGTTTACCTGTAGTGTGAGCACACACTGAGTGGGTATAAATACGATCCAGCCAGGGGATGGCAGCTCTATTTCAGTCCAGGCAAGATTTCAGAAGTTCACATCAGCAACCTATGTGGTGATCCTGGCTATTATACCTTCTGACCTGGGGCCTTTTATCATGGTATATCTTGCCTGCTTGTGGAAATGCCCCATGCTGTTTAGCATAGCTCTTAGCTGAGCCACAGAAGGAGAGGAGAAAAAGTTAACTTTGCATACACTAAAATGATGCGGCATCCAGCAATTTTGAAATTTGATCTTTCAAAGTTATTAATTAAGTGCTCTGATGATTAAAAATCACTTTCTGATTCTGCCCAATTATGTGAATAGTCAATCTCAAAATAAGTATATTCAAAAAGCAATCGGAAGTCAAGACTTACGGTAGGCAGCTATTGTCAGATTTTTCTCCTAAATGGGTATGATTAGCAGTTTGACAGTACTGCAGGTGGCTACTTCATCATTTATAACCTGGGTAACTTCAGATGTTCTTGGATCAAAATTATCTGAGTAATGTCTGGCCACATTAGAGTTCAGCCTCTTTTAAAGTATGCGTGTACAAAGCTAGCTCTCTTTTTTTAAGCTGTGAAAGTATTTCCTCTCTTTTGCATCCCTCAAAAGCAGCTGAACAGATTTTCCCGAAACTTTCCAGAGTGTTTCACTGTGGCTTGAACCCAACTGTGCCTAGGTACGCCCCAGGGGAGATTTTGAGGAGGAGAGTTATGAGCAAGGGGCCAGAGAAGGGAAGCTTTAGACTCCGACTGTGCCTCTACAGAATTCCATCCAGTTGAAAGGGAATTGCCGTAACCTCTGGACACCCGCCTCTGCCTCGCGTCTTGCCCGTGCTTTGTACATCAAAGCTGGTGCTACCTGGCTCCAGGCTCTCTGTGGGAGCTGGCATTTTGCGGGGCTCATGTCGCTGTTTGGCAGCATGGGTTTCTGCTGATACCAGCAAGCAGAAGCTGGGACTAAACACAACCTATCATATAGGAGAGAGAGAAATTAGGAGGAGGAGGAGGAGGAGGAGAGGGAAGAAGTACTTACTGCAAGTAAGGAATTTTAAGGAGGCAGTGTGGATGAGAAGCTTTGAGTTTGTCGTAAGTCTGCATGTCGAAAGAGGGAATGATGCACTGTTGCCCTCACACAAGATTTCATCACAAGACTTAAAATTGTAGCTGTTTCTCTTAAATCCCTGTTGCTGAGAGTCAGCTAATGACTTCAGCATCTGATCTTTCATTTTAAAAGTGTAAGTGGATTCCTCAGAGCTTAGAACAAAAGCATAGTCCTTCATCCACAAAAAAAAAGCAAAGAAAAAAAACCACAGACACTGGATTTGAAGAGTTTTTTAAAAATATAATTTTAAAGCTGATCTCTTATGATTTGAGTTTTGCAAACAGGACATTACCAATGAGAGTAAAAAGCAGATCAGAGGGAGTGAGTAAGTGAAAAGGTATTTGAGGGAGGCTGGAATTACTGGATAGGAGAAGGTACTGAGAGCATGGAGGGAAATACTTAATTACATCCTGAAGATGTGTTCTCACTTATGAAGAGGTAACTGTATGTGCTGGAAGACCTGGCTTTCCATAGGCCCATAAAGGATGAGTTCCACATGTTAAGATGGGAGAAGATAAAGAAGTAACACAATCAAAGAGGAGCCAAAGCAGCGGAGCTGTTTTGCTAAATGAAAGTGGGAATATTTAGAGGGAGATTTCTGAGGATCAGTGATGCTGCTGCTTTGGAGGCAGAGAAGTGTTGGCTGCACCAGGGAATAGAGAACATCCAGGCAGTTTAAGGATGCATTTGTGAAGAGGGGAAATGCTTTGTTCTTCCTTATTCAAGGGTTTAATTGAAGGCAGTTGAAAAGGTGCTATAAATTTAGCTTGAACAAATCCATCATCTGGGACGGTAGTGCAGGCTTAAATATTATGAGGATCATTCCTACTTTCAGTCAGAAGAATGATTTGTCACATCCTACATCTTACACAGGAAATCGCTTTATAATTGGATATCACAGATGAAACTGGAAATCCCAAACGTGCCCCAAAGACTTTGTGTGATATCTGTAAAATATTCCAATGCCTGTGGTGATAAATTTCCATTGAAAGGCTTCCCTGGAAGGGGCTCACAGCATCACTGCAGGGTGCTGGGGTGGTCTGTGGGAGAATGTATCTTCAAGACCCTCACATTTCCATCTGACATTGAAACCTGGACCAAATTTTGGTAGACTCAGTACATCCCTAAGAAATTTGCCAGGTGTGGAGCTGCACTTTCATGGAGAAGCAAACTGCAGAGAGGGACAGGTGGGGCAGGATCCTGGGACAAATATCAGTGGGACTCCATAACGTGAAAATGGATATGAAGCCCTTAAAGGTGAAGAGGGAGGAACAAGGAAAGTTAGGAGTCATCAAATAATTTGGCCAAGCAATTTTCATAATCCGAGTCCGAGATACTGTGAGTTTAATTGAAGAACTCCTTTGGGCATGGAAAAGGGGGCAAGGAGGCATTGGGATATAGCTTGAGAAGGGACTTACTGATACCACTGAATCAATGAAATAAAAAATGCATTTTTATAACGCCACAGTAAAATACCATTCAAGTGTTATTTAAGTATCCTCCCCTTAGAGATAGTAATATTAATAATACCATACATACATGTATCACACTTAGCTCTTCAGTGGAGCAAGCGTTTCATAGGTCCTTTTAAATTATAAAGTGCAAAGAAAGAGTTAGAAACCACTAACTTTTTTATTTTGTTTGCTGTCTTGTAACTTAAAACGACCTTGCAAGATTCACCCCCTGAGCGACATTTTACAATGAAGTCATAAGCCTCTGAAAACAGAAATTTATGATGGAAATGCTGACAGTCAGACAGTCAAGTATTGCACTGCTGGCGGGCACCAGTATAATACTTAACCTGAGACTGTGAAGACAGTAGCATAAATCAGCCTGGGTCTAGGTGGAAATGACTGTGTGTTCGTACTATTCTTTTCCAGTAACATGAGAAAATTTGTCCAACACAAACTGTCATAAAAGAATGCTATGATGCTGTTCCCAGCAAATGACCAAAGTCAAGAGATTCTCAATTAGCTGTCTCTATCATCTCAGAGCAAAAGGATACAGCGAGGAGATACTTCCATCCCTTTGTGGCAGAGCTGGGGGTCTGTAGTGGGGCATTTACCCGTTTTGTTGTTGGGAGTTTGGGCTTCATCCTTGCCTTTTCCCTACCTTGTTCTTCTGGAAGAGCTTTCAATGGGATTCTTTTCTCTGCCTGCATATGTTTTTTATTAAACTTATCTCCTGCTTGTCTGTGTTTTATATGTCTTAAATTTAGTCTTTGGAAACAGTATTCAACTCAGCAACTGAAAGGGAGCAACAGAAAATGGGAAACAAGATTTTTGAGCCCCCACAGGATCATTATTCTATTTACAGAACTTCTGCATGGATTTCAGTAGACATGG